CGCATGCAGCTCTACCGCACCGAGGGCATCCGCCACTTTTACTTTATGATGCTCCAGCCCAACGAGTATCTAGACGCCACAAAAAAGGGCGGCAAGGGTCGCTTCATCAACCACTCCTGCAACCCCAACTGCTCCGTCTCCAAGTGGCAGGTCGGCAAACACCTCCGCATGGGCATCTTTGCAAAACGCAACATCGCAAAGGGCGAGGAACTCACCTTCAACTACAACGTAGACCGATACGGCAACGACGCACAAGAGTGCTTCTGCGGCGAACCCAACTGCGTCGGCACCCTCGGCGGCAAGACTCAGACCGATCTCAGCGGCATGGACGACCTCTTCCTCGACGCTCTCGGCATCTCGGACGAAGTAGAGCAGACCGAAGCAAAAGGTTCCCGTCGCAAGCGCGGCAAGAGGCTCGACCTCGACTTTATCCCGCAAATGCGCCCCATCCAAGAGCACGAGGCCACCCGCGTCATGACCGCTGCTCGTCAGGCTGGTCCCAAACGCGAAATCCTCGAAAAGCTCCTTCGCAGGATGGAGATGACCACCGACGTCAACGTGCAAAAGTCGCTCGTCAAGCTTCACGGATTCATCCTCATGCAGTTCCTCCTCGAACAGTGGTGGAACGACCGTGACATTGTCCTCCTCATCATCAACGTCCTCGCACGCTGGCCCCTCATCGCTCGCAACAAGGTCATCGACTGCGGCATCGAGGATCAGGTGCGCACCACCGCCGAAACTTATCGCCCCAAGACCTCCACCGCCACAAAGTCAGAACCATTCCACCATTCCACCAAGCCAGACCCAGATGTCGCACCCTTCGCATCTGTCGAAGCAAAGGAAGAAGCAGCTGAGGCGGCACCACTGCGCATCGGTGCGCCGCCAGCAGAGGACGCCGAGGTGTCATCTCGCGCAGAGCATCTGCTCGAGGCGTGGAAGAAGCTCGACATGACCTACCGCATCGCACGCAAGGATGCCATCAAGCAAGGCGCAGACGAGCCCAAACACGCCACCAACACCACCGACTGGATCGACCGTCGACGCCTTCAAGACCTCTTCGACGATCCGCTCGAGCTCGACCAGGCACAGGCGCCCAACGCCGTTTCCTCCGAGCTCGGTTCGGCGCTCTCTGGCGATCAAGAGCTGCGCGAGTCTCGTCCCGCTTGGCAGCCACCTCCGCCTCCGCCCGCCCAGACATCCGATCCGCGCGCCAGCAGGCGATCCAACAACCCTTTGAACGGCTCGGCCAACTCCTTCCCGGCCTCGTCGGCGCCGACCGGCTTGACCGCGGACCAGCTCACCTCGGCACTCTCCTCGTCGCTTGCAAAGTCGCTGCCCGGGCTCGTCTCGTCGCTCCAGCAGCACGGCTTCCAGATGCCACAGCCACAGTCGCAACCGCAGTCGCAGCCGAAGCCGCAGCCTAAGCCGCAGCTGAAGCCAGAGCCACAACATGCGCCGCCAAAGATCTCGGCTCCGCCCGTCGCCAAGTCGATCGAAGAGATCATCCGCGAAGCCAACGAGCACGAGGAGCGCGCACGCAAGGAGGCCGAATCCGCCGCCAAAGCAGCACGCGAGCTCGAGCTCAATGGCAATCTCAAGCCCGCATCCTCGTCCTCGTCTTCGTCGCGCAAGAGGCCGTCTTCGTCGTCTCGCCATGCAGACAAGAGGCACAAGCCGTCGTCTTCCGCGGCGGCAGCGCGAAGCTCCAACGGCGCCGATGCGGGATCCAGCAGCTCCAAGGCGGGTGAATTGGCGGCGAGCAACGAGCGTCGGCTGCGCAAGTTGGTGGGCGAGGTGGTGGTGCGCCAAATGTCCAAGCACAAGGACGCGCTGGAGCGCGAGAGCTTCAAGCGCCATGCCAAGGAGCTCACCAACGTGATTGCGGACAAGGAGATGCGCAATCCCAAATCCTGGCCGCCCGCCAACGGCGCCACGCTCACCGAGCTCTCGAGCGACAAAAAGGCGAAAATGAAGAGCTTCGCCACCGAGTACATCGACAAGCTGCTCGCGAGAAAGGCAAAGGCAAAGGTCAAAGACACGCCAACTACCGACGAGCCTGGATCTTCCAGCCATCCGGCCAACAGCAGCAGCATCTAGCCGACAATTTCAATTGTATTCTTAATCCACAATCCAACCGGGCACTCGAGGCTCTGCAAAGGCGCTCTTCGGCGGATTCAAAAGTGGACTTGGATTCGACGTTCGATGACGGTATACTTAGTTGAGCAGGTACTGTCGCTGGAACCAGAGCGCGAGAGCGGCGATAAGAAGCGAGAGGAAGATGGTGGTGTAGAAGCCCATGCGCGTTTCGGCGATAAAGGCGAGTGCGCCGCTGGAGCGTGCTGCCGACTCGAGCAGGGCTTTGGCGGGGATGGGGATGATGCGCAGCGTGTTGTCCGCGCTCGCCGAGACGAGCAGGTTGGAGGCCGGGTTGAACTTGAGGCACGTGGGGGGGAAGTCGTGCGCATGCAGGATCTTGAGCACCGGCCGCAACGTCTTTGCATCCAAAACGCCCACCGACAGATCCGACGATCCATACGCCAGAAATTTGCCGTCCGCAGACACGTCGAATACCGTCACGGGTCGATCCGATACATGGCGCGTCTCGATGAGGTCCCAGGTATCGGCATCCCACGCCGTCACAAAGCTCTTGCGAATCTTGGCCTTGGGTCCTTTGCCGCCTGCAGGCGCGGCGTTGACAACTGTGAACAACTTCTCCTTGCTCGCCTCGCCGCGGCCAAAGCGCGCGGCACGGAAGGAGCACGGACCCTTTCCGCCCAGCGCCGGATTCTTGATGGTCTGGATCGTCTGCGCGTACCCCTCGGCGGGAGCGGATGCTGCATCGCCGTTGGTCGAAGCTGCGTCCGAATCGGGATCCGCAAAAGGGTCGGTGGCGTAGACGACGAGTTTGGAAGACGAGGTGAGCACGAGGTGCGTGTTGGAGTGCGAAAAGTCGGCGTCGTAGATCTCGGCCTTGTCAAAGTCGCGCGAGGCGAGCGAGATCGAGGTGTCCTTGGCTTCGGCCGCGGCGATGGCCGATGAGCTGGGCTCGCGCACGTCATTCCACACGGGCGAGAGCGACGGATATCTGTGCAGCGATACCTGGCCGTCGGTGCTGGCGACGGCGAGCATGCGTCCATCGGGGCTGAAGCTCACCACTTTGACGTACTCTTCCGGATCCTGGATGTGCAGCGACGAAGATGCGCTCGCCAAGCTCAGCTGAACTTTTGCGCTTGTCGACGGCTTTTCGGACTGCGAGCTGGATGCGCTGTCAGCCTGCGGCGAGATGGCGTAGTCAAAGATGCGGATGGGCTGGTTGGACCCGCTCTTGACTCGATCTGCGGTGCTGTTGATGCCACACACCAGCTGCGACTTGGCCGAGTTGATCGCCATCGCCATGGGCGCATCCTCGTCCCGGGAGAGGCTGCACTCGTCGAGCTTGTCGATGGACTGCGATGCCAGATCGATGCGCGCAGCTACGACGGCATTGGTGACGCCCGAGCGACCGGCGCCTCCTCCTCCCGAGTAGACAATGATGTTGTCCTGGACAAAGCCCACCGAGTAGATGGGCATCTTGGCCTGCACGGCAAAGTGTTGAGTCCGCGCCATCGTGTGAGTGCTCTTGACGGGTGCCTCGTGGCGTGAGGTTCGGTTTACAAGTTGCGGGAAGTGAGCCGCTTTGACAGTTGCGGATGCGGCAAGGATGACGATGACGACCAACCTTCTTTCGAATTTGGTCGTGGACGGTGCGGTGCAGTGCGCCAACGGTGAAGCGTCTCCGCTGTGCTGTTTGGCCCGTGCGCTCCATGCAGACTATGCCGCACTAACAGCGTGCGATTTTCCTTTTTTTGATACGCAGAAATGTCGATGTAACAGCGTCAACCCCGCGAGACACTCGCTATCAAGCGTCATGCTTCCTGGCTGCGTTATTTGTTCGCGCAGACCGAGCACCGCATCTCGCATCAGCAGAGTGGTTGCATCGAGCAAGCAGGTACAGAGCTTGATGACCTTCGCAGGTCGGCTGCTCGGTCCGCATTCTCCAGTCGGCGTCCGCATGCATTGGGATAAGCGAGCGCCATGTGCGCCAGTGCTGTTGGTGCCTGATCGGTCCTCGCAGTTTGATGCCCGAGCTCTCGCCTATCTTTGGTGCCCACGCCGGCCCCGAGTCGCTCGGCTTCTCGCCTTCGCTGCTCTGATATCTCCCCGTATCGTCTTATAAGTCACAAAACCATCGCAGGTATCGATAGGGCTCGACGCGCTTGTCGGAGCATCAAATGCGGCGAGAATGCCGGCAGTGGGGTCATGAGACGTCGCCATGCCACACATCCACCCGCCCCGGTCAGATGGGCTTGGCGCCCTTCTGATGCCTAAATCACCGTTCTCGCATGGCGTCGCGCCGACGTCGGACCGACGACGCGCTGGTTTTTCGAGCGTTCGCCGAGCCTGTCCACAAATGCACCGCACATCCTCGCAATCAATCATACGCTGTACCACTTGGCTGTATCGCCACCCCCTTTCCCCCACGCCATGCTTCCCCGCACTTCCATCCCACTTGCATTGCAGCGCCCACAGCCATGCCTTGGCAATGCCCGACACCCGCGTCCATGCATCGACGATAACCTCGCTAACAACTTATCGCGCTCCCCTTCCCTCATGCACAAACGGACCGGTCAACTCGAGTCCTCCGACCACCGAGCCTCACTCTTGGCCCTCTCCTCTACAGCTAGATCTACCCAATGCCAATCCATGTCCACTCAACGCCAAATGCCACGCACCTGCGCCTAAGTCTGATCCCGTCCTGCCTCGCCAGGGTCCTGCTCATCCACCACTTCCTCCCCCTCGCCTCTCCGCTCGTATATCTACCGCCTGTTCTTCATTCACTTCTCAATCGTCCCCCGTGCTACTCTCCTCGACCTCCACATACCCTCTCCTACACTCGCACCGCGCCAATTCCAACCTCACAAATCCATACCGCGCTAATATCGCTCGGATAGTGGCCCACCATGAAGGTTTCTTCCTCCTGGCGATATACTTCGCCTCTCTGCCAGGTCATCCTGGTCTCTTTCGTCTGCTTTGCGACCGTAGGCATGTTCAGCGCCGTATCAAACCTCGGCGCTGGCGGTACCCAGTCGATCACCCTCTCCAACATCACCAACGCCGTCCTCTATGCCCTCTTCGCCTTGACCGGTCTGGTGTCCGGATCCTTCAACAACATCTTTGGTCCTCGCATCACCCTCTTCGTTGGCAGTCTCGGATACGCTCTCTACCTTGCTGCCCTTTGGGTTTACCAGGAGAAGGCTCAGGACTGGTTCCTGGTGCTTTCCGGCGCAGTGCTCGGCATGTGTGCCGCACTGCTCTGGACTGCCCAGGGCTGCATCATGCTCTCCTATCCCCTCGAAGCTGAGAAGGGTCGCTCCTTCAGTATCTTCTGGGCCATCTTCAACAGCGGCTCGCTCTTGGGCGGTCTCATCGCTCTCGGCATCAACCTCAAGCAGGGCGGCCTCGACGCCGTCAAGACCACCACCTACATCGCCTTTTTCGCCATCATCATGGTCGGTGTCGCACTCACTTGGACTCTCCTTCCTCCCAACCGAGTTGTCCGCACTGGTAAGTCTCAAACCGACCCTCTCATCAAGCACACGTTGCGACGAGACAGATCGCTGACAGCTTTTCTCCCACCAACCCTACAATCCTCTAGACGGCACTCTTGTAAAGGTCGAAAAGTCCAACACTGCGCGCCAGGAAATCCGTGCCCTCTTCAGCACTCTCAAGCGCCGCGAGATTCTCCTCCTCATCCCCATGATGTTTGCGAGCAACTTCTTCTACCCTTACCAGGTGAGTACCTCCGTTGATAGCCCCACGCCCAACGCGAGCCCAGCTGACGTCGGATGTTGCACATTGCCAATCAACAGGGCTCGATCGCCTTCAAGGTGTTTGACTCGTCTGCTCGTTCGGTCAACGGCGTGGTCAAGTCGGCCGGACAGATCATCGGCGCGCTTCTTCTCGGCGTGCTGCTCGACAAGCTGCCCATGTCGCGAAGGAACCGCGGCATCTTTGGCCTGTCGCTCACCGCCATCTTCACCATCATTGCCTACAGCTGGGGCATCAAGTATCAGATCCCCATCACCCGAGCCACGCAATGGCCCAAGAAGATCAACCACCACGACTCGGACTTCTCCGAGCCCATCTCGATCTTTGTGCTCTACGACATTGGCGATGCCTTCTACCAGGGTCTCGCATACTGGATCATGGGCGCCATCACCAACGACCCCTTCGAGCTCGCACGATACGCCGGCATGTACAAGGCAGTGCAGTCGGCAGGTGCAGCCGTCGCTTTCGCCATGGACGCTACTCTGGTGCCCTACATCAACGAGATTGGCGCCGTGTTCGGCCTCATGCTCTTCTCGTTCCCCTTTGCCCTCGTCGTCATCCTCGGCATCCGCGAGTCCAACTACGAGGTCGAGAAGCAGGTCTACGTCGACGAAACTGCCGCAGAGAACACCAACACGATCCACGTCCTCGAGAACGGTGCTTCAGCTGCGCCCGCTTTCGACCGCCAGTCGTCCTGCAGCAGCGAGAAGAAAGTTTGAGGCCAAACACCGCTTTCTCTCGTTCAGGCCCGCACGCTCGTTTTGACCCGCTCTTGCGGATCCGGCCTCTGTACATTGTATCTCTGCCTACCTTGCTGTATCGTCATTGTCACAAGAAAGGGTTCCATATCCACATATCTGACTGGAGAGCTTGTTTGTCGGTGCGCAGCTCGCCTCGGCTGTCAAAGAATGGCAGATTTGCTAGTGCAACACCGCGTGTCACGTCAGCCACTTCCTGCTCCACTTGCGATCCGCAAGTCTCGCGGCCCGCAGTGCCCTGCACGTCATTCGAAGAGCCTCTGAGTCAGGCTCTCTATCGATCGTCTTCTCGGCGACAGGCTGTGCTTCGCACAGAGCAACCATCTTCGTCTTGACACTGTTGATACTGTGTCTGTCCTCCGCCCATCATCACCGGCTCAAACTTGATTCAGACTTCAGACTTCGCATTCGACATGGACCGAAGTCTGCAGCGGCTAATTTCGCAACTTCAAAGTGATGGAGTTCCCTCTGGAGGTAGCGCTCCGGAATGGCTGCCCCGACTCTTGAATAACATCCCTGGCCTGCCTGCGGAAGCTGTTCCGCACAAACGACCCAACCACGCAGACCTTCAGCCTCTGATCGCGGACGCTGCCTTTCACCCGGCAATTGAAGCGTGTCTGCATCTGATCAATGTGAGCATTACCAGTTCCGTTCGGTCGCGGAAGCGCAATCTTGATGGCTGACCAGAGAGCGGACCGCAACTACCCCCGCTCCTTGCAGGGGGACCTCTATTCCGCACATTTCCTAGTGCGCAAGGCGCAAGGAGGGAGCCGCTATCTCGACTGGCTTCATGCCATCCTGCATAAGCTCGAAGGCGACTTTCGCAACGCAAAGATGTGGTACACTGACATGGGCAACAACAACCGCGGCGCTCTGGACTCGCTCTCGTCAGCGGCTGACAAGGAGAGCGCGCCTCCAAAGTTTGTTCGATTCCATCAGTTCTGGTTCCTTCCATCTGCCAACGGAGGGGCTGGCGAGCGAGCATCCGCACAGAGCGTGGTTCTGGATAGTCCGGCCGATACACCTCGCGAGCTCAGTCTGACAGCACATCAGCACACCGACCTCGTCTTCCTTGCCTCGCTGAGCGCGTCGTCCGCGACCAAGGTTGAGTCTATCCAGCGGAACATCCAGAAGCACTTCAGAGCGACGACGAAGGCAGAAGACAAGATCCGGGAGTCGTCCTCCGCGTTCAGCTTCGATGAGCTCGAGTACCTACGCGGTCGCATTGATACACAGGACCTCAAGCGGGACCTGATTGGAAGCCTCACCAAAGTCGAGCTGGCTTGGTTGCTGACCCGCATGGTGGAGGACTTTGGGTGGCGCAGTCACACCGCAGCCGAAGCAGTCGACGCACTCCGGCTCGAGTCGACATCGGCTCAGGCAGAATCCGGTACCGAGCGCAAAGGCAAGGCGACGAACATGGTGCTAGATCCTGCCACAGGCTCAAGACGCTTCTGAGCACAAGAGTCGTTGGCCGGGTGAGCTTGCGGGGACGCAATGCAAGGCCGCGGAGATTCATGCGGGGGAAAATCATCCGAGCCTTAGCGAGCGCTTGCGGTAACGAGCACGGACCAGACAGCCCGGCCCGACGGTGACGATGTAGTGAGCCGCCTTTGAGATGTGGAGCAGCTCTCCTCCTGCTCATCCTGCATGACCTTGCAAACCAACGTTATCAGCATCTCGACGCATAATCGCTTCTTGTACCTACCGCCGCACCATGCCATCTTCGCATTCTTTTCAGCTCGACCCGGAATTTCTGCAAGCAGCGGGACCTGTCTTGGCTGCGTTTTCGCAACTGCCAAAGCCCGCCGTCCACGATGTCGAGTCCAGACGACAAGGCTTCAATGCAGTCCTCCAGCAAGCCGGACAAATGATGCCCGAGCATGACGTGACTGTCAAGACGCACAAGGTCAAGACGAGAGATGGCGCCGAGATCGATGTCATCCAGGTTTCGCCCAAGCAGAGGAAGGAGAACGGCGCCGCCGTGCTCCACATCCACGGCGGCGGCATGATCTCGGGCTCCGCGCAGATCTACGTGGATGTGGGTCTCGTCGGTGTCCTTTCTGGTGAAAGTGGAGTCGACTTTTTCTCCGTAGACTATCGACTGGCGCCCGAGCACAACCTGGACGGCATCGTAAACGATTCGTACGACGCTCTGCAATGGCTCTCCACCAACGCCGCATCTTTGGGCGTCGACAACAAGCGTATTGGCCTCTTCGGTGATTCAGCTGGAGGTGGAATCGCTGCAGGCGTGGCGCTCCAGGCTCGCGACAGGCAGCTTTCGCCGCCTCTGCGCAAGCAGATCCTGATCTACCCAATGCTGGATGATCGCAACCTCGTGCCGGACGAGAGAATCGTTCCATTTGCTTTGTGGACATACGAGTCCAACGTGACAGGATGGTCTGCTGTTCTCGGAAAAGGAGTGGCGGGGACGGATAAAGTCGCCCAACTCGTTCGATACGCCGTGCCTGCTCGAGTGGATGATCTCTCGAATCTTCCGGACACGTACATGGATATCGGCCAGCTCGACATTTTCCTGCTAGAGGATCTCGACTTCGCCCGACGACTGCACCAGGCCGGAGTGCAAGTGGATCTGCAAGTCTACAAGGGGCTTCCTCACGCTTGGGAACTAGTTGCACCGGTTGACTCCACTTCGACGGGCAAGAGGATCATGGCCGAGAGGATCCGGGCTATTCAGAGCATCTGATCGCGCACGATCGAGCCAGAACTCCGTCACGAATCACAGCATTTCGCCACAATGCGGTGCGGTGTGTTTAGCGAAATGCAGTGATTCTCGGACCCTAGAAGGAAGGCGCCGAGCGATGAAGTGCGGCTCGGAAGAGGCTCGAGCCACGGTCTTCATTGCACGAGCGCGAGGCAGGGGTCATTTCGGCGAGTATCGACGATCCGGCCGTCAAATACGTTGCAGACCAACCGCGAGGGCCGTGCTGCCAGGAAAAGCCGTTCGATGGGCTCAGTTCTAGCGACTTCATCCCAGTTGCTCTCCCCCGCACTTGACTCGCTCTGAATCTATTGCCACCCGGCAAAAGTAGACCTACCGCATCAGCGCTATTTGCACGTGCTTGGACCTCTCGCTTAAACGTTGGCTACCATCGGCCAATTGACATGCACGGTTGAACCTCGCTTTTCCGCACTAGCTTCGATGTGCTTAAATTTGCAGCTGGTACCGACGAAGTGCGTTCGAGGCTTCTGTTTGCTCGATCGCGACTGGTACATCGTTGCTCGCCCCAACCTCTCGATCGCGCCCGACCTTGCGCCGTGAGCTGCGATCCGGGCGCGATGGCTGCAACCGCTTCATTCGTGCTCGGTGCTGTTCACCATGCCGGCATGTCCTGCGATGTCCACAGGGGCTACCTAGGCAACGAAAGGTTCGGTGTTTCGAAGCTGACTCTGTGCGATCCAGACAAGGCGATGGCGACGAGAAGCAATATATAGGATGGGCCCAACGAGACGAGAAAGATTGTTCGCATCCATCACACTCTTCTCAACTATCTCTCTCATACGTCTCTCTAATACATCTCTACCAGTCTCTTTCCTCTCCACCAGTCTCTCTACATCTCTCTCGACCTCTTTCTCTCTCTCGGTCAACCTACTCTATACATTTCTCTACTCGAAACTCAAGATGAAGTTCGCCGCCGCTACCTTTGCTGCCCTCGTGGCCTTCGCTGCGCTGGCCTCGGCCTCGACTGTTGCCGAGCTCAAGGGCGAGATCAAGGCGATGGACACCTCGGTGGACGGTCTCAACCAGCACCTGCACGTCGAGAGCCTGAGCTACTTCAGTGCGCTTGCCATTCGCGAGGCTTCGCAGGACCTCACTTCCAAGATCAAGGCTTGCAGCACGAGCGTTGGCGAGCTCAAGGAGAAGCCGACCGATGCCGATGCCAAGGAGATGTTCACCTTCCTTGCCAAGACCGAGCTCAAGGTGCGCGTCGTGACCTCGCGCATGGTCGCGCTCAAGGGCGAATTCAAGAAGCTGGGCGTTGAAAGCAACGCTGAAGCCAGCATCAGGGAGTTCAAGACCGCAACGAACAGCCTTGGCGAGCACCTGCTGCGCATCACGCCCGCGCACGAGAAAGAGGAGGTCACGCAACTTGTGGCAAAGTTCAACGCCGATCTCACTGGCTGTGCTGCGGCCTTCTCGGGCGAGGCAAGCGCCCACGCTGAAGGCAAGCTCGTCCGACGCAAGGCTCCTGGCAACATCGGCGACGATGGCTTTGGCGCAAGCGGTCACGCTGGTGGCGCTGGCGCTGCTAATGCTGGTGCTCACTTTGGTGGCTCTGGCGCTGCGGGTGCTGAAGGTCACGCTGGCGGCTCTGGCGGCGCTGGCGGATACTTCGGCGGCTCTGGCGCTGCTGGAGCTGGTGCTAGCGGTCATGTTGGTGGCTCTGGCGCTGCTGGTGCTGGCGGATACTGGGATGCCTCTGGATCTGGCGCTGCTGGCGCTGGCGGAAACGCTGGTGGTTCTGGCCAAGCTGGTGCTGGCGGTCATGTT